CCGCCCCTCCCCTAGTGAATAACAAACCACATAAACAAAATAAAGAAACCAAAATTTGCAAACGCACAACAGCAGGTACACTCATAACTTTATTATTTATCAGCTACTGCGTACTCTGAAATACATTAATTCAGCAAATGTAAATTCTGCCCAATAGTTTTCTTTTTTCTTCTTTTCATTTTAAAAATTATTTCAAACTTAAAATTAAGAATGGTAACTTCATAGATGCAGATCTTGTTAAGGTTATTCATCGAGATTTGAGACTAGGTAACTTGGTAGTCAAGGATGAATGCGATCAATCAGTTTTGGATTTTGGCTTAGCTCGATCTCTAAGTTGTGGAGATAATTTTCTGTCAACTTATGCGGTAACAAGTTGGTATCGTAGTCCAGAAGTTATGTATTGGAAGATAAGTTCTTATGACACTCAAGGTGTAGTATTGCTTCATTACAATCATTCCTAATGTCATTAAGATATTTTCATGTTTTTCACTTGTAACTCGCTTTTCCACCAAAAAAATCTTTCGCAAGGTAGTCAGCTTATATGTTTGCATTTTGTGATTTGCGAAACCTTTTGTTCTTTATGACTAAATCTTTAGCTGAAAGGTTCATTATAACGTCGTCAAAAATTTGAACAAACTTTTATATGAATTATTTAGTTTAGAAGTTTTTTAGCTGATGTATGGTCTGTAGGTTGTATACTGGCAGAACTTACTCTCCGACGTCCACTTTTCCCTGGCGAAGATTGTAAGATCTATTAATCACTCTGGGCATGTTTTATTTAAAAATAAAAATTCATGGATTACAGTTCGAAAATATTTTTCTGAGAGTTAAAACTCACAACTTCTGTATTTTTTTGCATGCATCTTGAAATTATTGGTTTAAAGCAATGTCACTGTATCGTTTAATAGCGGAGTTATGTGGAAGTCCTGATCAAGAGCTGTTATCCAAACTTGTCTCCAATGAAGCAGTTGTTAATGTTATAAATAAGTTGGGTCTTTATCCACGCAAATCGTTTGAAGACTATTTTCCCCAAAATGTCTCAATTGAACTTATTGATTTTTTGGATCGAATTCTTGTTTTAGATCCAGAGAAAAGGTGGTCAAATGTTGTTTTGTATTTGTTTTCGATCTATTTGTGTAATAATTTTGACTAAATTAGTGCCAAATTGTAATAATTTGATTATAGTTATAAGCATATGATAGATTTTTGAGAGAAAATTTTTATTCGTGAAGTTTGTATGATTTTGATAATGTTTGCTACTCTTATCATTTTCAGGATGACAGTGACAGATGCTCTTAGCCACCCATATCTTGCAGAATATTCAGTGCCAGAAGATGAACCAGTAGCAGGCGGCCCTTTCATATTGGATGAAGTATCAAGTGATCGAACATTATCAGAATGGAAAAGTAGGTTTCTGAAACATTTGATTCCCAATTTTACGTCAATCATATTTTGGTAATATATATACTTTAAGACGTAGAGTCATACTATAACCAATACAGAAACTTCTTACAAAGTCTGCTAACAATTTTTAGCAATATTATAAAATCTTTTTGCATAATTTGCATAGCTGTTGAGCAAACGTTGAATTTGATTCTGTTTGTTGGTGCAGCATTTGCATTCGTTTGCGTCTCAATAATTTTTTGGAATTTCAGCTCTTATTTGGTTAGAATTGTTGAATTTTGGCCTTCACAAAGCATTTGGTTGCGGATAAAACTGTGATAAAATTATACTAATACTTTTTGCATCTATTGAAAAGTGCTACCTTTCTTATGTTATAATTTTAAAGCTCTGATAAAATGCAACAGAAAATGACAACGTTTATAAATGCACATGAATAAGAAATGGATAAACAGGCCTCAAGCCAATATTGCTGTTTTTACAGTTTATTTAGTATTAATTAGTATCTCCTAGTTTATACATCAAATCCTTTATCCATATGGTTCTGTACGTTTGAGTGTGTGGTAATAATAAATGAGTTTTCTACTAATAGGTTATGAGTACCAAGTAATAAGCAAATCATTCGACGAATATAGCTGCGGTATAATGGTTCTCAAACGTTTCTTTTATGATAGATTTCGAGTGCACGCGGATGTGTCAAAGTATTGCATGCCACTTGAATGGTTACATCGCGTAGTAGTATGCAGTACTATTAGAAATTATTGTCTCTAGTACTGATGAGATCTTCAATTTATTGTAGCTTAGAGAAATTGTGAGAGAAACAAATACATTGACGACTTTAGTATTTAATGTGGTAAGCATAAGCAACAAAAGGTGTACTCAGAAGTATCAGTTGCATGCGCTTCAATGATCATTTGCTTTACTAACTAGGGAAAATTGACGTGGTCGTTGGTTGCTTATCGATTAGCAGTGAAAGTGTGATTATGTATTATACGTCAAAGAAACGTAAAAATAGTGCGTTTAATAAGAATAGAATTAAATGAGTGCAAAGACTTTATGCTTGTGTATGTTTGCATAATATTTGCCAGTCATGTAGGACTGAAATGTTAGCAGTTGGGATGTGATTTATATATGTTATTGTATGGTTGTTTTTTATTCTTGACAGTGAAGTCTGGCGTTATATAGCATGCTTTCTGAGTTCATGTGCTCGTATACCGTGAAATGAGTGAATGATGTGAGTGGTGCATCTTGCGTCTATCACACTACTTCAGCACTTTCCTTTTAATGGCATCTTGCTTCCTTCATCATTATCGTGTTATTACTGTTGCAGTAATGATAATAGTAGTATGCATATCTGTTATTATTATAGTAAATGATAACGAGATAATATAAATATGAATATGTATATCTATATAATGCATGTATGTCTATATATATAGATACGTCTTAATCTCATCTGCAATACTAAAATGCTACATCCGTTACGCAAACGCGTGCACGCTCGCACTTGCATGCTCAATATATTGAGATTAAAACTGTAGATGTTTGCATATAACGCTCATAAGTCTCGTTCTTTAATCAGTTAACTATTTTATGTTACTAGTAATTTTATTTTTTTTTAATATTCGTTTTTACTTGCTCTATTGAAATTTAAGTATCTATCTATCTATTTATCTATCTATCTATATAAATATCTGTTAACCGTAGTTCAAGTATTAATAGGTAGTTTAATTATACGTATATGATTGTTGTTGAAATGCAAGTGCATAGTCGTGTCTGATGCAAAGAGAGCAGTGAAAGGACAGTAATGTATATTATGGTTTTTTATGGATGTTTGTTAAATATTATAGGCTTTATGTGTACAAGAATTCATATTATTTGGCTTATGTCGTGGTGTTGCAAAGTCCTTCCTTTGAATAGTAAGATTTAAGATACGAGCACATATTGCTATCAGCTAAGTTAAATTCTACTGTCAGTTCTGGTAATTTCTTGATCATTTGTGTTACTCTGATGTTACAGGATGTTGTCATTCTTGTTCTTTTAGAGTTTGGGATTATAATTTCATTTTTTCTTTTGTTTTAGATAATCATTCGAGCCGGTAAGAATCTTGCACTCAGAATAATGACGAATCAACTTGTTCTAGTGCGTTCAGAAACTTTCCAGACTGGCTTTAATTTTTATTTTCAATATTACTAGTAGTTTGTCCAAATTTTCGAGATTACAGACATGTTGAGTGACAGAATGCATTGAATAGGACTTATTATAGAGATTTTTTGTTTCAGGAACAGAACGATAAAACTAACATGAATTTCTGCTACTAAATATTTTTAGTACTAAATGTTGTTTTCTCGTTAATAATTGAGTGTGTGTGATGTCGGTCGAGTAATGTAGGGGTATTCAATTACACATTTAGCCTCATGTTTTAGAGTTTGTTATGGAAGATAGAGCAAAACTGTGTGTTGAAACGGTTAATGATTTTAGTGTAACAAGTTTCTGACGAGAAATGTGTGCTTCAGTTTGAATGCATTATTGAAAGATAATTTGGGAAACATTCAGTTCTTTATTTAATACTAATTATGTTGGCAATTAGTATGAGTTCGAGTAGTCATTTTACTGATAATAACTAACTATATGTATTCGTTTTTGCTGTGATGTGAAACGAATTGTTCGATTTCATGATTTATTACAGTGTTTCTCTTGTGATTATTGTGTAGTCATGTATTTGATTTATTCATTAGCAATTTCTGAATTTTGAGATTATTTTAGGTATGGTGTTTCCTATTTTGAGATTGTATTACTTTTACTTTAAGTAGGAAAGTGATATATTGAAAAAAACTAGGCTGTTATGATGGCTAAATATTAAGATATATATACTGTAATAAATCATGAAATCGACTATGTATATATATATATATTAATATTTAGCGCATCTGGTTTCTAGAAATGATGAAAATCGTGTACAGAAATAATGGTCAAGAAGTAGATTGAGGCTGGGCGGGAAAGTATTGATTACGAGTAAAATTACCAATAAGTTGTCGTTGCCCAAATAGGTAGTAACCATAGAAGTCAATTTTCCTCTTTCATGTTTGTATTATAAGAGATAAATTATGTTGAAAGTGTTACGCACTACTCTCTTGTTGTTTTGTCTATATTCTTAATCATGCAGTTATGAATATCGGTCAGAACGGTCACTTTTGATTAAAAGTGGACAATGTCATTTAAATCTTTGACGACCATCAATAATGGTACACAATCATTAGCTAAGATAGATGGGACGAAAAATCGAAAATGCTAGTAATTCTCGTCACTTGTTGTGTATTACCTAAGACATGAGGTACGAAGCAAAGGCATATGAATATTTGGAATAGTTATGAATTTCACGTGAACCACGAAAGATGACTAAGTAGTGCAATAGTGACGAGGTATATGTAGGTAATTGTAGAAATTGTGGATGCATTTCATCCTGTAGGTTACTCTTGTGGTCGCTATATTGCAAATGCAAATAACACAAAAGCCATTTGTTATAGTGGTAAGTTGAGGAAGATAGGTAGATGAGAAATATTGATTTAGTGGATGACCTTTTTTAAGTAAGTACTAAGTGGATACTTGTGTAGCAACATTTGTGAAGGAAGAAGTTGAATTTATTACTTGCTGTTAAATAGTTATTGCAATAACTTGATTTAATTTGCTTTTTATCGAAGACTTGACAAAATATTAAAATTAGTGCGTACAGAATGACTGAAGAAATGCTGTTTGTAGATTTTTAGAAAAAAATTAATAGGAAAAGGTGAGAGATGCTACTGCAAATAATTTTGCATATTATGCACATATTATTAATTTGCGTTCAGATCTGACTGGAAAATGAGTGTTACCGCAGTGTTGGCAGTGCAGGTTGCACATTGATGTCTTCGTATTAGTGCGTCAATTTTTAGCCAATTAAATGCTTAACGTTATGCAGTCGTTAAACTTACAAAAAAAAAATGCATGGTGCAAAATATCGAGATAAGTTGAGTTAAGAAAATGTAAATATGAGCGGCTAATGAATTAGTGCTGAAATGAGTTTAGATGAGGTAGAAACTAAGTCTGAATCGGAACAGTGATGGTAATGTGAGTAGAATGGTATTCTGTTGAGTTATCAGACAATTGATGCTGCACAAGTTCAGAACATAAGTACACGACTACTAGCGTAATTGAAGCACCGCACTCAAGCGTGCATACTTATTCCCTATCAGCACTCAACTAACTATTTCATTCTCTTACCTCTCTACCATCTATCTGCTTTTTGTTTGCTCTGCTTGTTGTTTGTTTACTTGACTTTAAAACGTCATTGATTTTCTTGTGTACTTTATGCAAGGTTTTATTGTCGTTAGTTACTTGGAGGTTTTTTGTTTTCTTGATATTCGTAGAGTTCTAGCTTATGCTCTCTTGTTGATGTCTAGTTGATCAAACTCTCTCTCTAGCACTACATTATTTCCTAATCAAACACTAAACTTGTTTTTTTATGAGAGATATTCATGGATTTTCATTTAGCTGTTAACAAATCAAAGTTAAATCTGTGAAAAGTATGTAAAATTAAGAAGTTGTTATTTTTGTCTATGATTTTAGTTATATGACTTGCGCTTGTGACATTTCTTATTTTTAATATCCGTTCCGTGGCTTGATGTGATCAATTTAATCAATGGTTCAAACTACATATTGTTAAGATTGCTTTAGGGGACTATGTCAGGTGGCGTGAAGAATCGTCGAATTTCTTTAGGATCTCCCAAAGATCTAAAAGAAGTGCATTTTTTCGAAGAAGACACTATTCCTGATGTACCGCCTAAAGGAGCTCGCATCAAGGTTGTTATTCATGGTTAATATTTTTCTTTGAATTTATCTACAAGATTATTATGTGTTGAAGACTTAGGCACTGTTGTGAGTTTACAGATGTTGTTATTACTTTTTTGGTGGTCAGGTGGAAAATATTTTAAATGAAGCGTCAAGAGTTCAAAGATAGAAACAACATTGAAAATTTTCATTCATATTCCCAAGTGTGCTAGCTTCATTAAATTTTAAACGGAATACTTACATCCGTTTTGTGTTTCTTTCTGTTTTAAGTTTTATTCTTCTATATTTCGTTGATTTTACTACTTTTAATAATTTTCTCTATAAAATGTTTCTATGAAATATATGCCTGAAATCGTTAACTTCAAAACTTAAATCGTGACCTTCCACCCACAAAATAAGAATCAGGTTTTTCAATCTTAGTATTGTATTTTATTTATGAAATATTCAGTTTAAGGAATATTATATTCTTTTGTAATTTTTTCTGACGCAAGCCTGATAGTTACGTAAGCTTTTATTTGTTACGTGTGGGAATTATTTACTTTTTGCATCTGTGAAAAAAGCCAATTTGGCTGCATTGCGTAAATAGTAATTTTGAACGTAGATATTTTGGAAAAGTATGTAATAAGCTAATACAGTTGTTAACATCAAAGTAGCCAAATCTTTGGATAAGTTTTCTTATGTTATGCTAGTACCCAGGTGTGCTACGCTGGAGTATGTCTCACGGATCGTGAAGTTACCAACACTAAACAGGCTAGAATTACAAATGGTATAAAAGATACGAGTCTTTTTCCAGGTAGGCTTTTTGGACAACATTTTGCTGAAATATCAGTAAAAGAAGAGGTTCAAGATGTATGCACCTTTATTGCAGCTGTAACATATGAGCACTTAATTTTTGCGTTGTTTTTATCTTTAAAAAAATCATATCCTAAAAAACTAATTCTTCAGCTTCACTCATAAGAAGCGTTTAGAATAACAAATTTGCCACATTTTTTTTCAGGATATGAAGTTTCTGGTGTGCTTGAAGCATTTGGAGATGAAGCAAAGCCAGCAGAATTTGATTTAAAAATTGGAGACAAGGTATGTTAGCGATGGTACATGTAATTCTGAAAATGCCAATTCGTACAATGCAGTTCTGTTGATACAAACTTTTACCATACCGAAGGATAAGAGCTTTAAGAGTTTTGTAAAATTACTAGTTTTTTAGGTAATAGTTTGGCCAACAGATGAAATGTGTCAGAATGGATATGCAGATTTTGTAACAGTTCCTGCTCTGCAATTCCTTATCAAGGTTCCAGATACTCTCTCAATGCATGTTGCTTCTATTCTTCCCGCTGGTGCTACATGGGCCCTTTCTGCTGTTATTCAGGTAATTTGATCTCTTCGCATGGTTTATCTCGAGGTATTGTATGTTTTTTTTCTTTACTTAATTTGTTTCCTAAATTTCAGGAAAGTGGAAAATATAGTTTGTATGCACCCTCATAATGTTGAGGTTTTAAAACAATATACAAAAATTTACCTGAAACGTGGTTGAATCTTCTTTGAAAGTAAAATGAATTCTAGAACAATAGAATAGCTTAAAGATAGACCAGTTCGAAAGACTTTTACTTATTATTAGAGTTTTTCAGGCGGATGAGTATTTAAAACAGTTCTACGACAGTAGTAAGAGTAGGGAAGAAGAGATGAATAGTCCCGTAGAAACTAAGGTTTTCACGACAATTTTAAGTTTCATGATAGCAGTTTTTAGTATCTGCATCTTCATTTACATTCCGATTTTGACTTTATTTACGTTTTTTTATTCCAATATTTGAATCTGTCCTTAACTTTGTTTATCTTGCTTTGTTCAAGGTTTCTTCCTATTGTTCTACTAATTCGTATGCCTTCATCGTTTTGCTCCTCTTCATGATGGTTACAAGTAGCGACGTTTTCTGACGAAATTTTTCGATGAAATAATATGAATACTATTAACAGGCACGTCCAATCGTTGAAGCATTTTCACATTCAAAAGGATTTTGCAATGTACTCATCGTAGGAGCTGGTGGCTTAGGACTTTGGCTACTCAAGTTAGCAAAGCATTTTCTTTCTGGACATCAAGAAAGAAAAATCAAGGTAGATATTTTTTTACACATTTCACTCTAGATCGAATCTGTTGTGAAATCAGGAATCAGGGGATGTAAGTTTCACAGCATCTTGTGAATATCGATGTTCATGCATCAGAGGGTTTCGTTACCAATTCTAATGTAATATCTTTTTGATTCGGTGCTTCAGATTATGGTAGCAGATGCTCGTGAAGAACGTCTTTGTCTCGCTGAGCGCAATGGTGCAGATTTTGTCGTCCATTGGGATGATAGTGGTTAGTTTACATGCACATTTTTGGTAGATGGTATGGAAATGATACACATGATGTATATTCACTTTTTTTCTCTTTTTTTGCTTCAATCCTGATTTTACATTATTTTCTTTTTTACAGAATTTGAAGAATATTTGATCATGAGAACTAAGGACGTGGCTCGTACTGGTGTTCAAGTTGTTTTCGATTTTGTCACTTCACCACGTACTGTTACTCGTTCTCTAAAGTGCCTCGCAGAGGTGAGCTGTAAATTTTGTAATGGGAAGTGAATGTCTTGATTCTCGAGTTTCTTACATTTCTTGGTGTATGTAGGGAGGAGTCCTGTTCGTTGGTGGTCTGTCTGGCCTCGATGTACAACTTCCTATCAAATTAGTTGCTCGTAATCGTCTTGCAATTATGGGAGTTACTCGTGGTTCTATTGATCAGCTTAAAAATCTAGTGTGCTTAATTGCCGGAGGTCAGATTGATGCTCCAGATTATCGAGTGTATCCTGTCAGTCAGGCGTCACAGGTTTGATTTGTATTTTTGTTTAAAATTTAAGAATTTTTCTACAAGTTTTGAAGGAATATTTTTTCCTATGACAATTTTTCCTCAACCCTTACAGCTTGATAATAAATATGTAATGTAAATCCATGCTTACGGAATTCAAAGTGATGTAAGGCTGCATCTCCGGACTAATTTTTCATGTTTTTATTTAGTTTCGTTTAATATGGTCTGTTTTTTAGGTACTTAAGCAGCTTAGTATGTCAGAAGTTGAAGGTCGTGCGATTCTCGAAGTATGCGATCCGAATACAGCTCTTGAACCTGTCGCTAATCCATGAATAGTGTACAATTAGAGGAATGCATCGGACTTGAGCGTGGATTTTATTTTGTCTTTTCTATCTGTATTCCTTAAAAGTCAGTATATTTAGTTTTTTCATGTAATCGTCATAGCATAAAAGTTAATTTTTCCCAACAAAAACGCTTTCTTAATCTTGAAATAATTATGCCTCTTCAAATTCCATCTGGTCTTCCAAATCTCATGTTGAAATTTTATCCTCTCTATATTTTAAATTCTTTCTGATGAGATGTGAGACTAGAATGTAATCTGAGAATGGTAGTTTTAAAAATAAGCAAATTTTTGTATTATTTCGTTGTTTTTTGTTTTATTTTTCTCATTATGTGATAAATTAAGATACAGACCTGTTATTCTCCCTGTTCCAAATTTATTTCGTTTTATTTTAAAATATTCAGCACGAGTGCTCCTAGTTTTCTGATTCTCCTTATTATTCATTTATGAATGGTAGCATTAATATGATATTGTAGTTCAATTATTTTATGTACGTGCTCGTTTGTACATATGTGCATTTGAGCAGGGACAGTTGTGCATATACGAGATGTCGATAGTTCAGCGAACCGATAGTTTATTCAACTTGAGGCGAAGGAAGGATACCATGTGAAGTCGATGTTCCTTTTGTTCATTTCCTTCTCAGTCTTTATTTTCACGGATTAGATTTTTCCTTTTATTTCGGCTGTCAGTTTATCCCTATTCATATTTATTTATCGACATTGGTCGGTATTAGAAGTGTGGAGCATCATATTAAGGATAAAATGTGCTTCTGTTTGTGAATTGTTTGCTGTGAACTTCATAACATGATATACGAAAATAAAATTACATTTGGGTTGTTTTGGATTCCTGGAAGATTTGCAGTGGATATCTACATTACCACTTCGAAATGGAGTGCGTACGTGATGACAGGCGTAAGCTTTCTTATATAAAGTTGCTAAAAAAGTGTTCGAGTATGCAAAACTCTTGAAGGCTGTACTGAGTTAGTGCTTAATAGTCAGGATAACAGCGAGTTGTAGCGTAAAGATGGCTCTTGATTTCACGGTACTTTCGAAGGCAATGTTGGCTCGTCATGGACGACTCAGGTACGCATGGATTTTGTAGATTTAAATGGGTGGTGAGGTGTGTCTGTTGCTGTTAAAAACGATTGAGAATGACTAGGAAGTATGAATGTCTTGAGCTTCTGAACGGTTTTACAATCTGACGGGCTAGTTTTTTATGAAAGCTTCTAAAGAATCAGATTACGGATTTTAAGGTTATCTCATGGTATTGTTGAGACTCCAGTGTTCATGCCGGTTGGGACGCAGGGAACTGTGAAAGGCTTATTGCCAGAGCAGGTATCGGGAATGGGATATCGTCTTGTATTATGCAATACATATCATATGGGTCATAGACCGGGCTATCACATTGTTCAGAAAGCTGGTGGTCTTCATTCTTTTATTAATTGGCCTTATTTAATCTTGACAGACTCCGGAGGATTCCAGGTTACTTTGTATTTCGTTTAAATTCAGTTGTGTTGTAAACGTTTTGGTTGATTTACTGAAGTCTCATTATACTTCAGATGGTTTCATTGAAAAGTTTGATGGATGTAAGTGAGGAAGGAGTGAATTTTAGAAGTCCTCATACTGGAGAGGAAATGGTTTTATCACCGGAAGCAAGCATTAAAATACAGGTGTGTTGGTATTTAGCATCGTACTTAATTTTATTTATGGTTCACTTCAACATTCTTATTTAAAGAAGATTATTCTTCATAATTTAAGTGTAAAATAAGAAGGTAAGGAAGTTTATTTATGAAAATTCCGGCACATATTCATGTCAAATACATACGTGAGTGTTATTTTAAAAGTAAATCCAAAAATTTTTTTTTTAAATATTTCATTATAAGGTTTATTTCAGGAGAATTTAGGAGCTGATATTGTAATGCAGTTAGACCATGTGATACATGTGCTTGATAATGGACCCATTATTCAGAAAGCGATGGAGCGATCAATAAGGTTTGTATTTTATTTGAAACAATAAGACAAGTTACTGAACTATGTATTGAATAATTCAGCATATTACTTTTTTCAGGTGGTTGAAACGTTGTCGTGATGCTCATCACAGGAAAGATCAAGCATTATTTCCTATTATTCAAGGTGGTTTGAATCTTGAATTTCGTAAACGATGTACTGCAGAAATGTTAAAACTTACTGATACAGGTATCGCTATCGGTGGCTTAAGTGGAGGTCAGCAACTTTGACATAATTTTTTTTCTTCTGATTTTACTCGAAATTAATTTTCATGATTTACAATTTTTTATAATCTCGTAGAAAAGTTCTTTTCTGTTTGATATTGGAAATATATCGAAGCTGTTTGTGCTTACGGTGCCTAGTACTTGTACTTTGTCAGTTGTGGCTGCATACGTTTTAAAAATTTGCTTTCTTTACTGTTTTGTTTGAGTCAAATAATTGTATCCAGTTTAAAGGAGAAGACAAAAGCTCATTCTGGAGAACTGTTGCTTGTTGTTGTGAGAATTTACCGGAGAACATACCACGCTATGTTATGGGTGTCGGATGGCCTATTGATTTGGTTATTTGTTCACTGCTGGGTGCTGATATGTTTGATTGTGTTTATCCTACGCGTACTGCCAGGTTTTTTATTTAGCCGGCTCTTGAAATTTTCAAAACCCTATGTTCATTTGTAAAACGATTGACTTTGTAGATTTGGTACCGCAATTGTGCGTCATGGTGGTTTGTTGCATCTGACGCGAAATGAATTCAAGAATGATTTCCGACCTATCGATGAAAGTTGTTCATGCATTTCATGTCAAAATTACACTCGAGCTTATATTCATTCCATAATAAATCAAGTAAAATTTTTTTAATTTTTGAAATTTGGGCTTTCTTTTTTTTAATCTTGGAATTTTGGGCTTTGTAGACTTTTCTCCATATGGCTCAAAGCTTCCTGACAAACTGAAAACGCGCAAACTTTTTTTTTTTGTATTGGTGAAACTTTAATTACAGGAAACTGTTGCCTGCCATATTATATCGTTACATAACTTACACCATCAAATCAAACTTATGGAACGACTACGTAGTGCTATTGACTCAGATATGGTAGAAGAGTTTTTGAAAGAATTTTTGTCGGAACAATTTCCTAATGCTAATATACCTCACTGGGTTCGTGAGGCAGTTGCTCATATGAATTATAAGATTTGAATACGTTTGTTATTGCTCCTTGTTTCTTTTAAAATTTTTATGTAAGCAGTTATCACTTTAGTTCACACCAAGGATGTATGAAAAGTTTCAGATAACATGAAGCAAAAAGGATTATGTTAAACTTTCTCGTTTTCTGAAAAAGATACTGTATTAGTTGTATGTTCTGAATATTAGTGCTTGATTATCTCGTTATTTCCTTAATATGCTTTGAGAAAAAAATATTTCTGATCTGATAAGACCGGAAATTGCTAATAATTTTTGAGCTTTAAGAAATGCTTAACTTCTGACAATAGAATTTGATGTGGTTAGCAAGAAAGTTAGTGGAAAGCTTTCAGCAAGCTGAGGTATATATCATGGAAATCTTTTAGCTACTCTCGACTTCTGTAGTATATTGAAAAGACATAAATGTCCCACAGCAAAAAATTTATCTTCTTGCAATTATACACTGATTTAATTTCAGAAATTACAGAATTTATAAAGTTTAAGTCACTTGCGGGATCATTTTAAAGTTTGTAGCAGAAATTCTGGCAGGTAGTATTAACAGATCAGCAGTATTCCTTGCACTGCATTTTCATTAACGAAATTAGGTTTCCAGTTTCGTATTTTTTAACCTGAAGAAATATTCTGATTCACCAGTACTATTAAGATGTAATGAGGACTGAAATTTTAAAGAAGCATATTAGTTACTAATGAGTGGAACATAATTTGACATTATTATGACCTTAAAGTTCAAATGAAGGGTGCCTGATTTTTTTTTGCGCTGATGATCTGCAGTGATGAGGCGTGAGTATTTTCTGTATCCCTCACATTTTTAAATTAGCTCTTTATACGTTATATCAGTTGCTGATATCAAATCTAAGACGTTGTTCTAACTGTTGTGCTTAATTACCATAAAGAAGAAAAAGTCTACTAGAATTGATTTGGTAAAATTATTTCTGCTGTCTGTAATGAACAGATTTACTGAAGCAGTGTGTTGGAAAAATTATTTTGTCCATTTTTTGTTGCTACGCTGAAATATCACCCAGTTCACATAATGACAGATTTTAATATTAAACTGAGCAGACCATTATTTTATTTGCCTGATCTACCATAAAGATATAATGTGGCATAGTTTTATAGATCCACTAAGAAGGATTTTTCTTGTTCACTTGCATTTACATTGTTCCAAAAGTGCATTGATTGCTTAATTAATCATTTTAATCTGTTTCGTTACTCATTTTATAGTTAATTTTAACGATGTTAAATGTGCGATACGACATGAAAATCTCTGCTTGTGATCCATTCATGCATTCCATCCTTAATGATAATTTTTAGTATATTTTTTAATGAAAATGTTAACAATAAAGAAATAAAGGAAAAACTTATAAATTATCAAACACCACCAATGGTTATTATTTATGAGCCTAAAAAATTTTTTTAGATGCATGAAATCATGTATTTGTTTATTACAAAGTTATAACGAGTTTAATGCATTATTTTTATTTGGTGAAAGGTCTCATCTCCTTTTTCACATAAATTACGCTAAAACCATTGTTGTAATGATGGTCTGTGTTTAACCATCGAATAAAGCGATTATTTATTATCTAATTAAAAATGATCAGTTTGTAATGTAGAATTTAAAAAATATCTGAAACAATATGTTACAAATTTATAAGGGTGATAACTTTCTCTCTTGTGCTTGAAAAAGTGCATTTACTCCTATGAAGAAGCAAATTTAACGTCTAAAATTTTCAAATACGACCAATTTTAATAATATTAAAGGTTATTCTTGTTAAATAAATAGGTCTGTATTAATTAATAATGAGTGACCAAAATGTCATTTTAATCAAGGATTTGGAAAAGTTATGAAGCGTATTTTATTTGCTTCAATCGATGGAACAAGATGTAATACAACGAATGTGAATACCTTTTTTCAATTTCCTACAGTTCATAGAAGGTAATTAAAATTGATTACAACTTGGGAGTGAAAAGCTGTTGTGGTCTAAATTTTTATAATTTTCGTTTTTCTTACTTATTTTATGCAAACTAACGGTATAAACTACTGATTACTATTTGATATATTTTGTACATTATCTTATTTCTTTCATTCAACATTGGTGTACGGTTTAGCAGTGAAAAGCAGTAACGTTTTACCGTTAGAAAAAAGTGCATTATCATACCATATGATATGAAGTTTTTTCAGAAGTAGCAGATAATAATTTTTTTGTTACGATTTTGTATTTTGTCAACTTTTTTCACTTGCAAGAAATCAGCAGCTAGAACATCAAGTAGCTCTTCATTAGTCACAAGAAACTAGCATAGAGAGTAAAAACGGAAATAATTTATTTGCTTTTTTTTTCTGATATTTCGTGGATAAATGATCATATTTTGTGTCCAAATAGTATTTTCTTTGTAAAAGTTTTGATTTTTACAATTTCAATAAAATTTATCAACAAAGTATGAGAGAAATAATTATTATGCCTGCGCTGTTAAAAAAATAATTAAATGACATTTAGTTCTTAAACATAGCTAGAAATTATACTGTGCAAGTTAGTTTGGACCATTCAAAAATTTTAACTTTAAAATAATACAATGGTTCATTATTTTACTACAGTATTCAATTAATGGTACTGTTAGAGTAGTGAAACGACGGGTAAGATCGCAAAATTTTTTTCAAACTTCTAACAAGTTTGTATAATTGATTGAGTAAATTCGATGTGTGTATTTTGTGTAGTAAAGTCATGTTTTAGTGTGGTAAAATTCAATTCGTTGTTTAGTTACCGGCAAGATTAAGCTTTATTTGTGTAAAGCACAGTTGACGTGACATACGTATAGGTATGATAAGTTACAGAATGACCTATTGATTTATATCGTATCTAAAATAAAGTACTGTAGTATATAAAAACTATCACAAAATGCTCATTTTTGATATAGAAGCCGAAAGTGAAGAAAAATGAAGTACAATCGAGAAGAACAGCAAAACCTGTAGCATCATTATCAGCACGGCCTTTCTGCATGTAAAAAAATTAGTAAGTTGCATTTATTTAGAAAAAGAGAAAATTCGGAAAAATATTTGAAGATGGAATCATTTGTAATGGCAGTAAATCACGTAGAATTTTTGCACAACAGCGGAAATCATAACATTAATTTCTGACAAAAAAATT